CCCCACTGCAGGGCCTCAGTTCCACCTTTCATTCACTGAGACCAGAGGGCTCACCGTTTTGCCTTACAAAAGAGCAAACTGAGTGGTTAGGAGATTCTACTTTAAAAAGTAGAGAAACCGCCAACGTGTTTGATTACAGAAGGTGGCTACCCACAACCAGTTTGTTTCGGTGCTTTTAAAGTGCCCACCATAAGAGTACTAAGGTGTAATTAATTATACACAATTTTTTGCCGAATTTTGTTGCTATGCCAACAGTAAAACTGAACACCTTTAAAAATTAAGAGTCCGGTCTCCTCCGAAGTACGACCAGCGATTGAAGCCTTCACCATCATCCGAATAAATTTGTTCATTTGTGCCATCCATTTTGCTGTTTTAAAGTTGTTTTTAGTAGCAAGGCACATTTACAGTCGTTTTATTTTGTCAATGCAATTTTTTACGGCATTAGTGCTCTCCCCGAGTAATTACCCCCGCGTTACATGGGGAAACATGTCAACTCCAATTCTGATTGCATTTCTCGCGGGATATAGTTTGTCTGTTTGTGGAAAAAGCTATTCATTTAAATGTTTTAAGTAAAAAAAGCAATTTATCATTTGGTTAGCGAAAGAGGAGCGCCAGAAGGTGGTTTAACTGGGGGGCTTACGGACAGCCATCTACCGCATTCACCTTAAAGGAGTCTACATTCGCGTTTAAGGTAAAAAGCAAAATACACTTCTTTATCTTCAAGTCAGTTCAAAAATTCTCCATTTTCAGGCATTTACTGAGACCTCGGGCGTAGGTGGCCTCTCTGTGGGACCAAGCATAAAGGAAGACTTCTATTATTAACCACGCCTCGCAATTAATTTCCATTCAAGTGTCTATAAAAGCAACAAAAAAGTCTCAAAGATAAGCTAAATTCAACTTTTTGTACTGGATCCTTTTGGCAGATATTCTTAGCAAGGCTGTTCGAATAAAAAAGGTAGTTTTAAGTCTTGGACAAAATTAACACTTTATATTACTTAAATCAGGGGGTTAAAGCAAATCTAAAATTAGCACTGGCAACAGTAAGTCGGAGTAGTTATTTCCGGAGGGGGTAGTGAAGCAGCTAGTCGGTTGTCACGACAACTGTAATGCTTAGAAGGAACGGCAATGTATGACAAAGGACTGAAACTACTCAACATTGTCAGCGACAGTTTGAAAGCGCCTTCTCTACAACTTGGTCATGTAAGTGCAAAAAAATTAACGAATCAACCCTCCACTTGCAATTTGTAACTTACAGACTAGCTGACAATTAAGGTTCTATTTTTATTTGGGGGTGTCTACAATTACGTGCGCAGGAGTATCTGCAGGCAGTCCGTCAGGTCCACATTTTATTGTTCATATTATTG